TAAGATTAAACCAAACACCAAATATTTCCATCGAAGACTCACACCAACGGATTTGTAAGGAATTTTAAAGTAATGGTTCATATTTAAGACGAAATTACTTTCTTGAATCACGGACCAACCTTATGAATGCGGTTAGAATGCGCTCAGTGTGTCTGAAATTCTTCGTTCATCACGAAATTAAGATATGGTTGGCAGTAGGTGACAAATAAAAAGACTAACTGAAAGACACATTCATCTTGTCTGCCCGTGATCACCGAAACGTCGGTATTATTACACACGTAGTTTTACAATAGTGAAAGCCCTTAATAATATTTTGAAAACGTTAGTTTTATTTAATTGAAAAAAATATTGAAGTCGCTCAGAGGAAAATTTAGGGAACATCCTTATAAAGCCGATATAAGAAATGATAATTTTGGTTCAAAGAATATCATTGATTAGGTTCAAAGTGATCAGATAAGTCAACTATGTATGATAGTGAAGAATCAAATACCAGATACAATAAAATTGCATATTTTTTCATCAACTTTTTGCATTGTTACACTATTTACGGCGCGTTAACAATTTTCATATATTTTTTCACATTAGATATAACAGTTACGTAGGCTAATGAATGAAAAACGGGAAAAGGGGGTATGTGGCTATGAAAACTTGTAGCAAGCAAGCATACAGTCTACAGATTACTAATTTATCATTATATGTAGGATTATTACAGCATCGTCTAAAAAAAGTTCGTACTTAGTATTCATTCAATTTTTAGAGTGTTTTAAAAAACTTTTCAAGATCTTTAAAAAAGTAGATAGTTTTCAAAATCTCTTAGATACTCGTAAAAAAACTTATATGTATTTATAAAACTTATTGTCTGAAGAAAATATGCTTTTCACTTCACAAGTGGGTGGCTTCAGTGGCTTTGAACTTTGAAAAAATACAATTTCTTGGAAAGCATTAGGTTCATATTATTTTTAGGAAATTATAGCAAACTGAATGTTGTGTTTTAAATTTAAATAAGTTCTAGAAATTTATTGATAGTTTTTATTTCCTTTCAAAATTCATGTTAAAATATTTTTAAAGGATTAAATTTAAATTTAATTTCTTTTTGCCATTGTATTGCTTTATAAGAAACAGATTTAGTACTAAATATTTAAGATTACATGAAAACTGGTGGTCAAATTTTACAAATTGTATATTTGTATATAGAACGCATACAAATTAATTCAAATAATATGACGTTTTCTAATGGTGTGTTAAACAAATAATTCTACCATAGTAATATCATTAAATCAGTTATTTCATACATTTTCTTATAGACTTGATAACAGCTCGTGTTGTGTTAGTTGTATGTAGGTATACTATAATATTGGCGCCCTTCGTTGTTTTACTACTACGTCGTGATGCTGCCATAAAGAAAAATGGGATTCCTAGATAGCGAGAAGGGTTTACCGTGTAAGGTCGCGAAATAAAATATAACATTAAATATATGTATTATAAAAGAATTACACACCTTGTAGATACCAAGAAGTTTACTGAAAATACAAAATCTACGACGGGAAAAATATGGAGAAAATTTTTTCACTTTCATTTGAAAAATGAATAATAAATCATTATATTTTTTTATTTACACAGATTTATCAAATAGTAGAATCTTAAACACTTAACAGTTACAGCAGTATTTTTGAACACCTCGTCGTTAACAAAAAGACGGTCCCCAAAGCTTTCATTAAGAAATTTAAAATAGTAACATCAGGGTGACAACAAAACCTAAGATTGTATATTAAAAAGTATGTTTCAAATTAACTTAGACATTTAAGCATATATTTTTTTATTACTATATCACTGAAAAACTTATAATATAATCAATTTGAAAGTCTTCCATCATTTTGTTTAGTGAAAATGCATAAATCTAAATGTTGGAACGCCCAGATTCAATGAGATCATATCATCGTAAAAACTTTATGGTTTGGCATACCGTATGAGCTAAAATCAAAAATACCTTGCTTTATAACCAACTACTAGTTCTTTCTACATCTAGTCTACGTGTCTAGAATAATTTTGAACATATGTATCAAGATCAAATTATTTCAGAAAAGAGTCTAAAACATATCAAATAAATACATAGAAATAATAAAATTCTGTGTGAAAATGAAGACTCTAGACTTTTCAAAAGCATATAATTTTTGCCCTAATGATTATCCACGATTTCTGAATGACATTTAAATTAAAATCAAATAAAACAGGCATCGATACTAACAAGAATTTTTAAACTACTATGTTAGAAAGAACTATACAATGTGTGTTTCTGAATAAGAAAAATCCATGAAGACAATATACTCACAGTTAATTTGTAAGGATTCACAAATTCCTTCGTAAGCGTCTCCTGCGCACGCACGTCACGCCTGTGCCCGTATATTTTTAATATAAAAATATCTAGTCTCGAATCGGATCATAAAAATATAAATAATTTAGGATCGACCGCTCGGGCAGCACTAAGCCTCGTCTACTCATTGACGTATACGCTTCGAACTAATTTCGGTGCAGCGAGTATTCCGCGATTCTGTAAACATCAGAGCGGCGCTGAAATGTGCCTAATGTAAGCAGATCCCTTAAACACTAAACATTTCTTAGAGTTTCAGAAAAGTTTATTTCAAGAAAAAAGTTTCGGGAGACCACTTAAAAGTGGTTGTTTGGACGATTTACAAGCTTTATAATGCAGTTACAGCAGACTTTATTGGGTTGTAATAGGAGTAATAATCGTACAGAACGACTTGGTGTGAGGAAATTGGTTCGTTATAAGTTCTGTTTTAGGCACACTGAGTCAGCCGCGATGAGGAAATGCGTGCAAGTTATAATTTCGGATCAACCGACATTGTTTCATTATTTTATAAACGTATCATTTATTATATCTCAAAAAGATTAGCGTCACTATAATGTCTTCTCTCTATTATGACATCACAAATAATACATCATGATCAGCGTTGAAACATTAAAAGCTCCGAATGACGCTATGTAATACTACGACAATAGTCTTAATCAAACAAAAAATATTGAAGTCTTGCAACTAAAGTAAATTAACTGTAGTTTTTATGTTAGATAAATTCAAACTAATATTTACTTTCCATTGAAAACAAATTTGAGCTTTAATGTCTTTGATATTTTCCAAATAAAATATAGAGAGTCAATCTTACCATATTTTTATTAGCTTTAATGGTTTAGACTACAGTAGACTTGTGAAACTGTAATAAATAATAAAATTTCACATATCAAGGATGTGAAAAATATTATATTTACAAATCAGTGTTTAATATCAGTATTCAGTAGGGTACTATCAATCGTTAAAAGTATTAAATCATATTCAAAAATATAAAAGATATGAAGTCCACAGTCGTAAACCTAAAAAGTAAAATGTTTTTGACAATATTAATGTAATGGTTAAAAAAACATCAAAAATGTCTTCATTACATATGTACTTAATTTGTTTTCAACAATTCTATTGATAGTCGACGTTCGTGTCAATGTGAATAAACTTTTAGGTAAACTGTGTAGTGTGTATGGAAAATACCTTTCGTTATGATGTTCATTATATCGAATTACTGGATTAATATTAATAGAATTGATTGAATAATCTATTAAGGGATATTTCAATATATTTCAACGAGGTGGATTTAATATCCGCCATAAAGATATCGCTGTCACCTAGCCCCAACATGCGTTAAGAGCGACTATGTATACTTTTGCATCACTCTATAGTAAATTATAATTTATTTATTTTGTACACATGAGTTCCGTTTGTCATTTTACAAGATTATAAATGATTTTTTTTTAAAATATTTTACATGCTTTGCAGCACAGTGTATAGCTTTATTCTAGCTACAAATATCCAATATTTATACACAATACAAATTTTATAAGCCGTTTGTAGTTAATGGTTTTAAAAAAATAAGTAATGACGCCAATGATGAGTAAAACAAACCCCAATTTAGTTCTTACATACACATTCAAAAGAAACACTTCGTTAATTAACAGAGCAATTTTCTTTATGTATTTTAGAATTGACAAGTCTTACTTTATAGAAGTCATTATAAATTCAAAAATAGCGTTCCAAATTAATATAGATATGCGTTATGTACCTCTAACGCAAAATTAAAAAACTTTGATACGTACTGCCGTAATAATATACTTATGTTTATTTTAAGGCAATTTTTATGGTTCATATGTATAAAAATATATATGGGAGTGTAAACGTTCATAAGATTTTAAACTAATAAGGCGAAACCTTATATATTTTTATGTATCTCTGCTTTTCTTATTATTGTTATATCAATTTAAGTGTTACCATCTGTCAGTTATACATCTTTAATACTTTTCTAGAAAGAAGCCTTGTTTGTTATTTTATCTAGGTTTGATATATCAGAAGTCATTAAGTCTAAGAAATTAAGGTTCAAAGTCTAAAAAATATTGTGAAATATGTCCACGGAATAATTCTTTCAGTACGCGTTTCAACTTATTTAGAATTTAACAGGCGAGGACGAAAATATCGGTACATGAAAGATATTAAAACAAACGGAGCATTTAAAAGGGCCATTTGTCGTAAATAAAACAGAAAAATTGGATATCTTAATTTATTACTTAATTCTATTTAAGTTTTCCAAGTTTTTAAACGCCAACATACAAATTCTGATATAAGAATAGTAATGAGTGAAAAAACAACATCTCCAAAATGACTGTGCCCCATCCTAGAAGTATCAGGTTGAAATAATTCGCATGTATTTTGTGGTTTTTATTTCAAAAATATTATCAATATTGGTAATTTTTTGCTGAAAATATTTATTCTACAGATCAATGATGCATGTTGGCATTTAAATTGTAAAGAACTCTCAACACATTGAGTTCACTCATTCATTCGACACTTCTTTCTTTTCTATATAACTCTCAACACATTCACGCATTCATTCAATTCCATTCGACGCTTCTGTATCCCTCTGTTTATTTCTTCGTCTACATCTCCGTCACTTAGTGTTCTTCAAGGCGTGGCAGGCGTCCGTCATGTTCAATCCCTCCATGGTATAGAGTAGGTTCTCCACAGAGGCGTCCTCATCATCGTCGAACCACAGTTGCAGCATGTTCTTGGCCCTCGCTTCCTCTGTCGTGTACTCTGTATCAAAGAACTGTATTTCATCGGGTTTGTACCCTAGTTTGGCTGCAAGTTTCTTCCATTCTGGTAGTTTAGTTGATACAGCGTGTAGCTGTGTGGCTGATATCATTGTTATTTTAGATCTGGTTGGTTTATCGTCGTCATGAGTCGAATCTGGTGCCTGAAATATGAAAAATGTATGTAATGAGAGAACAATTTTAAAACAGATGTAAGTGTAAAGCATGTTTTATTGTATATTTTTTAATATGTAGAAGATTCAGGATATGTTCTTGTAAATAGTTTTTTGTGAACAACTCCGACTGACAACATAAGACTAGCATTCACAGATAAATATACAGGGTGACTGGTGAATTACTATCGATACTTGAGGACGTGATATTTGACGATCATATATGACAAAATAAAAATTAATATAACATAAATATTAATAAACTTCTAAGTAAAGTTAACCAAAAGTTATGTAATTAATTACGCATCGTGTGAACACCCTACATATTAGGTATACACACACACACACACACGCGCGCGTGAGGCGGCGTGGTGTTGTATCAGCACGCCGCCGCACGCGTCCACACTTGGAACACTTGGAACGTGTTCACACTTTATTTATTTATACGGAAATTTGGCCAAAAATTAAGTACCTATTTTTTTTACATAATTCGAATGAGAATCATGTACCGAGTATTCTCCTTAAATATTGATAGTAATTCACCAGTCACCCTGTATAAAGTATATTAAAACAGTACACATAATAAGTAACACATATTAGTATTTTCACTTTAAATAACCTAGATACTGACTGCAGCGCCATCTGGCTGCCGATTTTTTATTATAATCCATTTGGGGCCAAACATAAATCGATACCTCCCACGTAAGTTGTTGTATGCCACAAAAATGTTATTTTGCTTTTTTTCTGAAAAATATCCTAGTATGGATCTCTATAGCCATACAAAATAAAAAAAACAACAAAAACACTATTTTTAAAGGATTTGTCAGACGCATACCTAATGTTGTAATTTTCAAATTTTGCAGATTTTGGGTTTAATTTCAATCTTTGAAACGCTCTCCTGTAAAATTACAGTTTTGGAGATACAACAACATGGGAGGGATCGAAATACATCCAAATCGATTCAGGCGGAGTTCAGTGACATACACAATAACAGTAGGGCTATAAATGTATATCTTCTTCTTCTTCTACCTGGCAATTTCCCAGCTACAGCCAGGGTCTGCCTTACATGTTGTGAATAATAGTTTTTGGCTATTAGTTTTTACGACCGGCCGCCTGCCTGACATCAACCCTCTTTTGGGAATCAACATTAATCAGTGATGTCTAAATACTCTTAGAAAGTATATATGATTCGGAAAAATCACATTGGTACTTGCCCAGGCCGGGGCTATAAATGTATATATGATGTCATATATATACATTTTGGCGAATTATTAATAACTATAATCAAATATCATATCAAGTCACCTGTTCAAGGTCGGTAGAGTCTTCTTCCTTTATAATATCAGTTTCTATTTGCTCCTCTGTCAATTCTTCTTCAGTCTGCTCCTACAAAAATAGAAAAATTAATTATACTTATATATAACATTTATAAGATATTTAGTAACTAGTTTTTGCCCACGACTTCCTCCTTCCTAGATTCAGAGTTAGAAATGTATAGCTGAGCAGGCGAATTCTTTTTCTTTAAATAAGAAGATTTTGGAATTAATAATTTTATTTTTACGATCGTCTGAAAAGTATCATGTTCTTTTTCTGGTTTTAAGCTATCTTTTCACTAATTGTCATCGAAACACGCACAACCGTTTTGGAGTTATAAATAGTGTCAAAAACACGACTTTCTTATATACAGGGTGACTGGTGAATTACTATCGATACTTGAGGACGTGATATTTGACGATCATATATGACAAAATAAAAATTAATATAACATAAATATTAATAAACTTCTAAGTAAAGTTAACCAAAAGTTATGTAATTAATTACGCATCGTGTGAACACCCTACAGATTAGGTATACACACACACACACACACGCGCGCGTGAGGCGGCGTGGTGTTGTATCAGCACGCCGCCGCACGCGTCCACACTTGGAACACTTGGAACGTGTTCACACTTTATTTATTTATACGGAAATTTGGCCAAAAATTAAGTACCTATTTTTTTTACATAATTCGAATGAGAATCATGTACCGAGTATTCTCCTTAAATATTGATAGTAATTCACCAGTCACCCTGTATAAAGATTTTAATTAAAATATAATTAATCGAATAAACTTACCACTTTAGCTTTATCGTTATTAATGTTGGAGTCACCGTTAGTATTATTGGACACATTATTGGCAGCTACTTCACGGGTAATTTTTTTCACCTGAAATTTAAATAAATACTTTAAGTAATATATGTATATATGGTAGTTATAGAACAGATAAAATCACGTTGGAAAAATATTTTATATTTTTTTTATTGGTTAAAACATGATAATTAATTAATAATTGTTCATCTCAGAGATCTTTTGCTGATCATAATTGCAAAAGAGATTATCCCAACCTAATTCAAAAATTAATAATTTTAAGTACAAGTTCCAAGATATTACGTCAACAAGTACATCGACATCTCCCACGTAAGTTGTTGTATCTCCAAACCTTATTTTGCAGTAGAGCGTTTCAAAGATTCAAATCAAACCAAAATCTGCATTTATTGATGCATCTTTTTAAAATTACGTATTCAAATTTAACATAATAGTCTTCTTAACTACGTTAAAAGATATTTTAATTAATATGCCTATTTGCGGAGATATTGTTGTTATATTGTTACTCCGGAATAGAAGCTAAAAATGTATTTTATCTGATACTTTCAACATTATACCGCGGCGCCCAGGTAGCATCACTTGTGGTATATGATAGTTACAACTGTATACGTTGAAAAACATAAGTCTTACTCTGTTGTATGTAACTCATACGCGGCGCGGGAGCGTGATTTCACCCACCTCGCGTATGCAGTTGTATAGGCATATACATCAGTTTAATCCGTTCGCGTTTGAAAATTACAACATTATGCGTCTGACAAATCCTTTAAAAATTGTTTTTGTTGTTTTTTTAATTTGAATGGATGTAATGACCCATAATAGGATATTTTTCATAAAAAAAGAAAAATATGTAGCATTTTTGTGGCATACAACAACTTACGTGGGAGGTATCGATTTACTTGTTACCCTCTTATTTGTTATATCAAAGTTGCGCTGTTTAAAGTTCATTGACCTCACCATATCATCAAGATAATCCGGCAGACGTCCGATGGGGTTGTTTGTGTGAACGAAGAAGTGTGGTGACCGTCTGGCCAACAGACGGAGGGCGCGCCACCCCCACCCGCCGACACACTCACCGGCCTCGCCTGACAACATGTACGACTCTGGAATAAGAGAAGAATGATTCATTAATAATATATATTGATATAGGATACCTATGGTTACTATCTTTTAGCGCCATCTAGGTCTTCTACCGGGCAATTTCCCGGCTCTAGCCAGGGTCTGCCTTACATGTTTTGAATATTTTGGCTAATTGTTTTTACGACCTGCCGCCTGCCTGACATCAACCCTCTTTGGGAAAGCATTAATCAGTGATGTCTAAATACTCTCAGAAAGTACATATGACTCGGAAAAATCACATTGGTACTTGCCAGGATCGAACCCGCGCCCTCGTGTATGAAGGGCGGGCCTTTTAACCACTAGGCCACCACTGATCTTTATTGATATAGGACAGATATGGTTATTATCTTTTAGCGCCATCTATGAATAGACATGTAACTGAATGCATAGTACTTCAATGCTCTCTTTCCGAATGTATGATAATTAATAGTTGGCTACTTATAAACTTTTAATATTACCTACATCATATTATATAAGATGCATCACTGCAAATTGTTTACAATATTCATTGTTAGATGGTCACAAATCAATAGGAAGTGAAATGTGTTGTTGTTTAATATATACCTTTGAGTATTATGTAGTGTGTGAAATATAATATTTAAGCAGACATACATTTTTTTTTACAAAACAGTGCGGTATTTTGTCATTTATCGGTTATGCTGGCATGATCAAGTAATCACAGACAAAAAATGCCTTACATCACTATGGAAAAGATCTAATTGATAGTCTTACATCATTAGATCTATATTTACTAAAAATAGTTAAAAACTTTTTTTTTTTGAAAATCTGAATCAATATATGTAAGTTTTTTTTTTCATTAGGGGAAAGTGACGATCTATATATTATAATATAAAAAAAAAACAAACAGTATGTCACTATATTCAAGAGATGCAAGGTTTTCAACAGACAGACGCCAAGTGATCCTACCTTAAAAGGATTAAGGTTGAGAATCCTAAATATTACAGATCTTTTGAAAATTGGTTTATTCAGATATAAAATGATAGAATTTACATTAGAATAAGTTTGTACCTAGTGACGGCATGAAATCTCTTTCTTTTGTTCTACAAGCGGCGAGATTGTCTGGACAGAGGTTCCACAACCTTGTCAGGTCATTACTGTGAAATAGAAATAAATATTGTATAAATTAATAAAGAGATATAAAAAAAGTATTATTTTTATATAATATCAAATACTTACTTTAAATGTTATATTGTTAACCAAAGAGTTTTAATATTTATATCAGAATATATTCATAGTAAATCCGTTTCATAATGAAAATATTATTTTTAATAATATGAGAATGTATATTACTTACTTCCCCATGAAGAACTTGTCTGTTCCAGAATATTCTTTAATAATATCTCCAACCGGCCGGCGTCGTTTCCTTGAACGTTTCACTTCTTCATTCTCCGCTTGTACTGGAGGTTTTGGCTTTTGAAATTCTGTAACCCAAATATCTTATATTGAAGTATATAAGACATTTAAATATAAGACCAATAATGATCCAAAGTTTATCAGAAATATGAATTGATTAAAACAAATGGTTGGTTAAATAAGTCATTGTTTTAAATTAAAATGTGTTATAAAATAATTAGTTTATTTACAAAGCCTTACAATTTATAAAAAGAAAGAGCTTAACACATATTTAAATCATAACATTTGTAACATTTAAAAGTTGTAATATTCAATAAAACTATATTAAGTTTGTCATGTATGTATCATGCTAAGTACCACGACTAAATGACGGAAACTACTATAATAAAGTAATCTACCTTGTTACATACATGCTATAAATTAAGATATAAATGAATATCACCGGGGCAATATCGTTTTATGGATAAAATATCATAGCGAGTGACGCCGCTGACTCCGCGAAACAAACATCAAGCTGTGTGAACCAGAAGATTCCTTATACTAGAATACATACATAGAATTGCTATCCTAACATCGGAGGCAATAATGTAGTCTTAGATATATGTTATAAGTTTTTATATGTAATTCTTATTATAATATACAGTGCCGTAACTAGGGCGGTGCCAGCAGTGAACAGGCACAGGGCGCAGACCCTGGAGGGGCGCAGAAATGACCAGACTAGTATCTAGTTTTATCTCATGCATGGTAGCTATATACTTATATACTTTGTTACTTTGGTAAACAACAAATAGATTTATTTGTATGCACATTTGTCCATTTTATTTTCAGAGCCTGGTTAGATCATTTTTCAGGTGCGCAGTTTTGAAAGCTCGCACCGGGTGCATAAAAGGCTAGTTACTTCACTGAATATACATTTAAGTAAGGTTCGTAGTTTTCCTGAACCCTTTGGTTGCCACCCTACATACTTACTCTTGACATCATATTATTTAACAATAGCGGGCAAGTATAACAAAAGGTATTTTATATCACCTGGACATCCATCATTTTTCCAACTGTTCCAATGTTCTTCCCTCTTCAATATTCTCTTCACACATTCAGCAAACTGTTTGCCATCTGGTGGAGTTTCACCGAGCAGCTTGTAAACAAGTGCTGTTGTTTCCTTCACCCAGTCTATTTGATCTGATTTTAATTCTTGGGATTCCCTGTCGATAAAAGAGTTACAAATATTATACACTACATAAGCATAATAAATCAAGAGAATTACACAAAAACATTTCAAGCAATAAATGGTTCTTTTATCTAGTTTTGTTGTGTTAAATATATATGTATTTATATAGCTATAATTTAATTGTACATTACATTCAAAACAAATTATAAAATAAAGCATGGTTTGCAATTTAATTACTCAAAGAAAATGTTAATTGAATAAAACAAATATAAGTTTAAGTAAAAATGTATGAAAACACTAACATTTTAAACTTTACCGTCGACATTAAATATTGAAAGAGTATAAGATACTGTATAAGGACACATCTCCTGAAATTTGAGTCCGACAACTGTAACTCCAATAGTTTCTGGTTTGTAAGAAACTTTGCAAAGTAATGTTGTTCTTTGTTCTCTGTCATTTCAACATCCGAGTTAACAGATTTAAGTATATTTAGTTTAGATTTCTGCAATTCCACAGCCTCTAGCTTGTATGAGGAGAAAGCTGATAGAACACTACCTGAATGCTGTAAATATGTAAAAAATTAATGTTATCTTAGTTACATTTTTAAATTATAGCAATGTTGAGATTATATTTGAATTAAAATCCTTATATAAAGTTTTACACATTATATAATAATATGAATAATACATTGATTGGAGTAGCTTATAATTATGAACTGAAATGATATTCCACATGTGACAAATTTAATTCTGCTTTAATATAAATTGATGAATTTTATAAATCATGTCTTTGTGGTCAAGCATAATTTTGGATATATTTTTCATACATGCAGTACTTTAAAGTGAAAAAAACTAAGTAATTAATTATATCTATGCAATATTTCTTTTAAGTACAAATATATTAGTAAACTTACTGCAACAAAGGTTTTCCATTGTAATTTATTATAACATGTGTTAGGGTTTCTAAAGAAGTCCTGTAAGCTCCAAAATCTACAGTAAAGATTGTAATCTATGACCAATTTGTTTTTATCATCGTCAACTACCATTTCTTCGTCTAAAGCATCCTTTAAAGTACTTGTATTGTCACCACCAAACTCCGTAACATTTTCCAGGTTGAATTCCGAGACAATATTAAGCCCGGAGCGCTCGGAAAAGGGAAAGAATTTTGCTAAGAACAATAATATTCTGCCACAGAATACCGTATTTTGAGATCTTGATAATCTTCTTAGCAAGTCGTTACACATTCGTAGTAAATGGTTTTTACATGCCACAAAGAATAATTCTTCCCTCCAAATATTTACTCCATTTTCAACATACATAAACATTTTTTCACATTTGTTCAGTGTTAGTGCATCGAAAATATCACCCAAAAGAACTACAGGCATAGTTGCAGTCACCATTTGCCTTCGACATGACTCTATACAAAAATTTACATAGCTTTCCAAGGTATTTGGCTCCTCTAGTAGCAAATCCAGTAGTTTATCTCTGAAAGCTTGGTCCATGGCTGATTTTCTGTCGCTCTCATTCGCATTTTTTGAAAAGGAATCGAGCAGATCGATATTATTTGTAGTAAACGCTTTTGATAATACATCCTGTAATAATGGGAAAATATGTATTTTATGAATACAACATGATTTCAAAAAGGTTATAATAACTTACCTTATACTTTAGCCGCAACTCATCAAATCCAACTTTTTCAGACATTTTTAAAAAGTAAAAATAAAAGAGAGATACGATAATATTTATTCCTCTTATATATTATTCCTAGTTATTTTAAAGAACATGTCAAATATCTTATTTACGATAGCCAAAAATGTATAAATACAATTTAAAATGACAACTTGTAGCTCCACAAAACCATAGACATTTTTTATAAGTCTATTCGTTTGTTAGATACAAGAGGACTAATCTATGTCGTACATATCTAGGTTACTAATTTACTTTAAATCATAGTTAGTACTACAAAATTTAAATGAATAAGGAGTTAAAATATGTACTCAGAAATTCGTGTTTTAATTTAGATTATTACATAAAATATAAGAAAAAAATACTTATTCTTGAAACTGTTCAAACAGCGTAAAAAAATAAAATATATTAAAAACTTTTTTATCGAATAATTGATTAAGATTTACTTTCTATTTATTTAATATACATGATTAATCTTTAATTAACAATTTTTTACTCATAATTTTTTTAAAAAAAATTACTAACCCAACTGATACTTATTTAAGTTTTAAATAAATGAAAGTAAACAGCTCCTTTGAATTTAATGTAGCCGTTTTATATTAATCTGCCAAATTCCTATTTTATATCAAAATATCAATAAACATAATAATTCAGAGTCTGTAACATATTTAATTGGACCACAGAATGTATCCACAGTGATTGCAATTGGTCTATTACATCCACAGATATAATTTCGACCAATAAGATCAAGTCTAGGAGGCAGCTGTACAGCTGTAACAATGTTGACAGATAATGAATTGATGTTTTCTTGTCGTATGTGGCGTCTTGTATTTATCTTTCTTTTTAATATATAGTATTGCATTTATTTCTAGTTTTTATTTAATTATAAGTATAATTTAGATGGTTAGGTGTGTATCTTATTATAAAAAATAAATAATAGAAGATTTGTGTGTGATTTAGTTTTTCTAATAGTAAAATGGAGAGGAACAATATGAGGTGAGATGCTTTGTTATACGTTCAATACTTTCACACGTTGTGTTACGTAGTTGGTAAAATAGATTTCGAAACGTGTAATCAAATCATACAGCACGTCTAATCAATTAAGAAACCTGACAATTCACTCATGACCTAGTTACTAATGTTAGATTATGTTCTAGCTATCGACCGATTCGGACAAAAATTATTTCGAAACTTATTGTATTTATTTTGAAAATGTCGACAATTTGATTTAAAATAACCGGCAAATTATTTCAGCTACAAATATGCATAACAATTAAGTGTCTTGTTTTATTTATGTTATTATCAGTTCTTATCACTTTAACATAAACAAAGCCGAAATAATATTGGTACGAAAGATATAAACAATTTTGGATAAAACGACTATGTGGGATATTTTCACTATCAATAAAATTAAACGAAATATTTTACAATACTTAAATTCAATTTTCTGATATATAATATAATAATTTCAGATCAAACTATGTGAATAGTGGGCCCAGATCACTGCCTCACATGGGCAAGCGTCACAATGGTAATAATCACAATGGATCTCGTTTGAGTCCACCGGCACAGACAAACAATCACAACAACAATCAACAAGATGATATCATTAATTATATATTTGAATCTTGGAACAAGGTTTGTAAGATTAAACCCAAGCTTGATGAGCAAATTTCTACTAAATTAATGCTTTTTGTTGATTATATCACAGTTATGGTATATTATCAAAAGTAATAAGATACCAATAAGACTTATGTCTAATATTGTTACATTGTATTAACGAAAATTAATAATTGATAGCAATAAACTGCAAAGTCCTTATAATCGTTAATTCGTCTTATAAGAGATTGTCAAAAAAAATTAGGTTTAAATCCAGTAAATAGATAATAAATGTGTATTTCATATATAACTTATGTATATTCTATTTATTTAAATATATTTCAGGTATCACGTGAGATGGAAAGGGGCAGCGAAGATGCCAGATATTATCAGGAAGTACCGCCGAGACAGATGGCAAATTTCCGACCGTTCAACTTAGAGGAGTGGTGGGGTCGGAGGTTCATTCAGAGCATAAATCGCAAACACCGTTCTTAGTTAACATTGTGGCGTGTTGTATCTCGTGGCTGGATATTGTTTTCTCCTAAGATTGGATGTGTGATTTTGTTTTGTATCTATTTTTTTATTTTTATGTAATAGTAGTATTTTTTTTTTCTCTTTATGAAAGTAAAATTTTAATATTATCAAAGCGTTTGAGAGTATAGAATGAAATGTATAATATAAGTCTCATATATTCCAGAGTTGAATTCCAGTAAAATCAATTATAATAATCACTTAGGAAACTTTGTAGTTTTAATACATTATAACCGTTTTTTTGTATTTACATGAATATACTATTAAAAATAATCTTTCAAATTATAATAATAAGGATTCAATGGACATATGTTTTGTGACTATACAAGTTTGTTCTTTGTTTGTAATTTTAGTGCATGATATCTTGAAAGTTATTTAATTCCATTAAAACCTCTTTGTATATATATTTAATATTAATGTTACACTGATATATTTATAATTTGACTACCTTTGGATTTTACTTTCAAAAACTATCTGGATATTTTATATATAAATTAATATATACACATATATGTATGTCTATGTATGTATTTTTCATAGTGTTTAGAAAACTTTCCATACACCATTAAACATGGCATTTAAATGTTGCAGTTACACGGTTTTAAAACAGAGATTATTTAATTATTTTTTTTATATAAGTTAGTATGAATGTATAATTTTAGTTGTAATTTTTAAGAAATGTTTTGTCACTATTAAGAATCAAGTAGATTTTTTTCTCAACCTTTGTTTTTTTTAGTTTTGTTGTATGTATATTTATATTGTTTTCAAGTAATAAGTATTTATTGAAGCAACTGCAATAATCGACATCACATATAAAATATATTCAAATTCTCTATTTATAAATCTAATATCTTAGTAAAACAATGTATGTTTGGAGTCATGTTGAAGCAATAACATTATAATTTTTATATGTAGATTGTGCCTTGTAACAACATACATCATTTTTTAAAGGTAGTTAATTTTTATGTACTTATCTGATTCTTGATATATTAAATATGAATTATTGTTAATGTGACATTCCATTTATTGTCTTGTACTTAGTGTTTCAAACTGTATATATTATAAAAAGCAACAGAACAACAAATCATGGATTTAATAAACATTTTTTTAAATATATAGTATTTTGATTTTCTATTTATTATTTTTATATTTACAAATTACTTGTACATTTGTAATATAATTTTAATTGAATTCAATTCCCATTTATATGCACTTTTCATATATAATATATTTTAGTCGTCTAGAACTGAAATTTTAACGCTGTTCCTGAAGCAATTATAATATTGCTCTTAAGGCGCATGGTTAATTTATTTTCTCATCAAGACTAAACTATAGGATTTCTCTTTTATCAAGCACAGCAAACGTTTAAAACAATACCTGTGCCTGAGTTTTGCTATACTCACAACATAAGTTTTTTATTTTTAAGAATATTTGCTAAGAGATAAGTGGAATAAATTTAAAATCTCTAAGATTGATTTGTATGGTCTACAACACCGATTGAATTTGAATGAATAAAATCTCTCCTTGGGAAGACAAATAATTTCTTAAAACTATAAATAAAAATAAATTCTTAAAATTATAAATAACAATAATTTATAAATAAAAATAAAAGGGTTTTTGGTGTAGGTGCTGGTAAAAATATAAGTAGTCTTAATTAATTAAGGCCTTTATTTATTTCGACACACTCCGTCGTGTTTTTCCCATACAGTACTTATACTTAAGTTTATAATTCCAACAAATAAATAAAACGACATTTGCAAAATTTTCCACGAGTGCGATTGAAACTATAGCATAAAATTTTTTAATGAAGGTTAATAAATCGCACTTCTGATCTTAATATTATTGTTTAAATAAAATTGTCTTGATTCTGTCAAATCATAGGAATAAAGTACGTACACTATATACATAGCTGTTTAGGCATACGTAATGTCTTTAATGCTAAGTGTACTTACGAGAGAGTTGAGTGGTATCTTGCTCAGTCTAGATAGGAAGCATAAGTGGACATATTATTTGAATAACTAATATTATGCTATCATTAGATCGTTATAAAATGTTGTAGATATATAGATATCTCATTTTCATTTATTCAATCTTTATATGTCACCTTTAAAATTATCGCTGATATTTGAATATATCCATAAATTTATGAATTAAAATATCATTGCAAATAATATTATACATTGATAATTAAAATTAATAATGATAACATTTTGTAAAACTTATCGAACGATTCCTTTTAATTTTGTTTAATTATAATAAAAATAAAATAGAATATCAAGTAGGTACCTAAGGTAAAGGCACCTATGTTGGACGCGGACCAGTCATGGACAATTTTTAACTTTTCCTCCAAAATTAAGCAAAGACGCTGAATTTTATTTCAAATGACAACACGGGTCTGTTGAGTCAACACTGTAGTGGTCATACCAACTGTTTTTAACAGCCTACATCCATTTGGATGGCGGCTATATAGGTTTTTTGTTGCGCGGCGGCAGTTGGTGCCGGGAATCTTAATTTATTAGAAGAATCGTGTTGCGAGTAAGTACAGTTATCGTCTTGTTATGTGTCAGGTGTATCGTCATTGTTGAAATTGTTATTATTTAGTGATTTATCAATAGTAGTACATTTATTTTATAATATAACACAAAATGTCATTGTGATTTAAACCTTTGAATTACCGGTGTCCATAACTGGATATTATTCAAGCACATACACCCAATCATGTACAGAGTGTCCATAAAGGGAACTTCCTGATTTTTATTATTTTTCATGTATCATACGTCTGTACTAATATATCTTCATGTTTCTCTAGAAAACTGAAATTAATTTTTTGTCTATCCAATAATGGACATTCTGTCCATGACTGGATGTCTGTAATAGGTTCAACATATTTTTAATACAAACAAATCTTTTTTTCCAACCAGAAATGGCACTTAGGAGAAAATATCTGTTGAAGCTACAAGATACGGAGTCCCAAGGATAACATTACATAATAAAATTACCGGGAAAAGTCGAATTGATTGTAATCTAGGTCCAACTACGGAACTCACCTACGAAGAAGAAAGGAAACTCGTAAAATGGATAACATTTATGGGTGAAAAACATTTTCCTGTCTACAAAGAACAATTGCTTGATAGTGTCCAAAAAATTATATTTGAGAAAAAGTTAGATTCCTGTCCGTTCACAAAATATACCTAAACCATTAACCAGTTATATTATTCTTGGACGGCCATAGGTCACACATGACACTGCATCTGTCAGATTTCTGTAAAAATAATATGATTGAAGTTATCTCTACCCGAACTCGACTCATCTGCTTCAGCCGATGGACGTTGCGGTGTTTAGGCCTTTAAAGGTAGCATGGCAGAATCAGGTGAAGACTTGGAAAATGGGCAATCCGAATCAAACAATGAAAAGAGAGCATTTTGCTCCAAATTTTGAGACAGCTTTACAAAATATTTCGACAGACACCATAAAAAACGGATTTCGTAAGAGTGGGCTTTTTCCCTTTGGTCCAGAGTATGTGGATATGAACAAAATAAGCTCACAAAATCGTGCAACTGTTTCCACATCAGCAATAGAAAAGAAAATTAACACGACAAAACAGTTTATAAATACTTTAGAATCAGAAATCCTTATTATTTTGAAAACATTATTACTGTCCATTGATGGCTGTTCATATTTAGATTATGTCCATGAATGGGTGTCCTATACTGGATTATATCTGTCCATTAATGGTGTCTAAGTAGGAGTGTAGTTTATTTACAATATTTTATTGTACTGAGTACCAAACTAAAATTAAACATGGAATACTGATTGAAAAAAGAGCTTTTTATTTACCTTCTAATGCCAAAGAATATATATTGAAAAATGAAGAAGTTACAAAGCAAATCTCTAAAAATATCGCTTGTACTGTCCATGACTGGTGACTTTACCTTATATGTTCTTATGGGTATGGATCTACAATAACTCATAAAGTTCTGATTGATAATAATATTCTCAAATAAGTTAGATGAAATCAAGATGTAACATTATTGACTATTACTAATAAGCAGTTAAGAAATGATTTCAATTCTTTTAATCATGTAACAGTATCAAACGAACCTCCTAGAATATGAAATAAAGTTTTTATAGTTATTTGATCACAGCTTATTAAAAAAACGTGTTTAAATAACTATGTCCTCGTATATTTAATTTGGTTTGACGCTTGTCTTATATGATGATTTTTAATTGATGTTTACCGATGTGTTTTTAGCTTGTAGATTTGGTGTTTCCGCTTTACATGTTTTTTTGGGTGGTAGAGCATAACTGTGGTCAAGGTCACTACATGGTTTACTTTAACATGGGCTGAAGAACTACCCTCTTACAGAAGATCGGCGTGAAGTAGCCTTAAATGGTTGCGTTTCGTCCGATATGTGAGAGAGCCGGTTGCCTTTGCCCTGTTCCCACCCTTTCCTGCTCACTCACAATTCCCACCTTTTCCTACTTCCTCAAAAATCAAGGTTGGCAACGCATCAGAAACATCTATCATGCTATAAGTGTCTCTGGGCAACCCTTACTATTGACTACTTCCCGTTAAGAAGATCGTCTGCGCCTTTGCCACCTTTTGTCATATTTACATAAAGATATAAAACAAAAGACCGATTACACATACATACAAAATAATAAAATACAATATGTAAAAATATTTTAAATGACTCTATGATTTATTTGTTGTTTGGAGAAATTAATATGTAATAAAAAAGTTTTTTCAATCAAATAGTCTAAGGGATTCTGGAACTATTATACAGGGTGACTGGTGAATTACTATCAATATTTAAGGAGCATACTCGGTACATGATTCTCATTCGAATTATGTAAAAAAAATAGGTACTTAATTTTTGACCAAATTTCCGTATAAATAAATAAAGTGTTGACACGTTCCAAGTGTTCCAAGTGTGGACGCGTGTGGCGGCGTGCCGATACAAAACCACGCCCCCGCCGCGTATGTGTGAGTGTGTGTGTATACCTAATCTGTAGGGTGTTCACACGATGCGTAATTAATTACACAACTTTTGGTTAACTTTACTTAGAAGTTTATTAATATTTATGTTATATTAATTTTTATTTTGTCATATATGATCGTCAAATATCACGTCCTCAAATATCGATAGTAATTCACCAGTCACCCTGTATATTAAAAACATACTTAGTTTCTAATGTCGCGTGTATTATTTTTGTCATGGTTCATAACTGGAATTCATAAGTGGCGTAGAAACTGTTGTACGACAAACAAGCTTCAAAGCGCGGTATTTATGTAGCCTCAAGGCTTAGCCAACTACGTAACTAATGAGTTTGCCGAAGTTCTCATTTCTGTTAAACAACTTTAATTCTACTTTGCTTTTTTTTCTGTGGTGATGTTGAAAGTGTTAAGTTTATTGTGATTAAAAAGTTTTTAATGTCTTTGTATTATATTTATATCGCGCTAATTGAAGTTACGAACAATTCTAATTTTTTTAAATATCGGTACATTTAATGTTTGTTTTTTTTTTTTTTAAACATAATTGAATCTTTTTTTAACTAAGAACAGTTTTAAAATATTTCGATATGTTCCCCGCGCATTTGGTTTTTGTTAATAACACTAACATTTCAGCAACATATATATCAAAGAACGAATTTAGACAAAATATCGTTGTTAAAATAAAAATAGGAATAAAACTGACAGCGTAGGAAAAATTGGTGTCTTTTTTGCGAGTGTTACAAAACAAAGCCTCTTAAAATGAAATGTGATCATTAAACGTCTATACAAGTCTGAAGGTTCATTAGCATGTCGTGATACCTTCATACCGTCAAAGGTAACGTCATCATAAGCTGCTTTGCCTTGTTTTGTTCTTCAAGTTTATTTACTTCACTTTAAAGATGTTGTTCACAAAAAAAAGCATTCTAGAGACTTTGTTCCAGTAATGACATCAAATAATTACGATTCAATATTACGAGTATATTAGTAACAAAATGCCACCCAATATGAGGTGAACGGGCTCTTCTACGTTACAATTCCTAAAACTAATGTAATTGCTAATGTGTTTATCAAAAAAATGTTGTAAATAAAACTAGATAGGTATAATTTAAAACACTTTTTATTTTCCCTTGTATTCAAAGTCGCCAAAGTCGTCGTTATCAGTCCGATATTTTTTCGTATTTTTTTTTTAATTTTGCTACAAATATGACATTATTCAATTAGAATGCTATTTCATAAGATATTCATCGTTTCGAAAGTAATAAAATTGTATTAACAGTAAACAAATTAAAATATAACAACGATCGATATCATTATGTAAAAACGTCCTAAAATACAGAAGCCAGAGTCCATTTTAAGTGCCGAGTCATACTTAAAATACTATACATTTAATAACAAATATCTAAGATATAACATGGAATGTTATTGCTCATGAAAAGTGAACTCTTTGTGATGGTAGTAAGGTTGAATGTTCACGCTTCGGCTGGGTTCTGTGTTTGAGCTGTGGCTCCGCTGACGTTGGAGGTGTTGTCAGGATCGGCTTCACGGACTCCCATCCAGGGCACACGTTTCTGGAGTTCAGCCCTGATGCAAAAATAAACAATATAAAGAAATCCTCCTTATTTCCTTTAAAGGTATAGTTAGCTTATTCATTTATTTACCTATATCTAGGGTGGTTGATGGCGTACACCCATGGATCTAGACAGGAGACTACTTTCGCACATACGGCTGGTATCATCGTCGCAACGGGAGTGAGAATGCTTCTGTAAAAATTGTTTTATATGTAACAAAACTTACATACATATAGGTAAAGCTATTTTTGAATATCAAATCAAAAAATAATATTAATCACCAGTGAAAAATTAAACAAATAAAATTAATCGCTGCAATAATGACGAAGATAATATCACATAATTCTTTTTATCAATTTTAAACTAAATGCTAAACCCAAATTTGTATTGGCGAATGAAAGGGTATGTCATTACATTTTGAATTTTATGTATTTTAAGTTGGACACCTAATTAACATAAGGGTTTAATATGACGCTTTAATGAAAAAAATGGTCATAAAGTATCATTAAATATTATAATTAAGTACCAAACAAAGTGAAAAACTCTTCATAAGTGGCTGTATTCGTCCCGTGAAACTGTCATTTAAAAAGCTTATCGACTGAATTGAGCCAAACGATTGAATGCACTTTGAGTGGGTCGGCGAGGGCTCTCAAAGGAGATTTTTGCTTTCATTTTCGAAACTCATTTGCATACTATCCTAATTAAAGGCACATACTTCAGGAGTTTTATTACCAAATGCAAATTAGGACCTGTTGCGATTTAATAAAGGTCTGACCAAGTAACAGTTTTGTCATTTTAAGATATAGGTATGTAATTCTGAAGTTATAAAACGATAAATCAAAATGGACTTTCATTTCAAACGATTTAAAAATGGTCACAAGGTTCAAACGATTCAATTAATAGTCTTAAAAATATTACAAAAGTGCTTAAATCACCTGTCACCGAATGCTCCTGTCATGGCAACGAAGGCGTATGGCGTCCACGCGCAGATGAACAGGAAAAATATCGTGAAGGCGACCTTCGCAATTCGAATCTCAACGCTTTTGCCGGCATCATCTTTATTAGCTGCCAATGATTTTACATTCATCTTCTTAGCTTGCTCTTTGAGCATGCGTTCGTGGAGACGAACCTGCGAAAATTTTAATTATCCTTTAATAAAAATAACTAAATGCAGATGGAAATAAAATTGTGAATTTCCCATAAAGCCTTTGTAATTCAATGTTTTGTGCTCGAAAACGATAAGAGTCGTTTCCCACAATAGAGCGCGAATCCCTTTGATGTTGAAAATAAATTAATTGCTATGTGGAACCTGAACCGGGGTATGAAAACGATTTTTATAATATTGTCTGTTTTCACTTTAACAAGCTTATTAACTATAGTTTCTCTGATTAAAAACACGGTGTTATATTTTAACGGTGTTATTTTAATTAAATATAAATTTCATTTGATTTAAAAGTGGTACATTAAGACAAAGTATATTACGGAAGGAGGCTTTCAAAAGAATAGGAAAGGAAATTGAATTTCCGGTGAGGTTATGTTGAAAATGCTGGTTTGCTCATAATGGAATGAAGATTATATTGAGTATATGAGTATTCATTCATTCCTTTGAATGTGGATTGGGATCAACTTACTTGAAGCTCAAGTATTAGGCCATATTTTCGTATATCAGAGATTAAACTGAAAGACGTTTTTGTAGACCTTCAATCTGATATAGGGACTATGTGAGTCTCATCAATTAGCTTGTTGAAGGTTTGATGTTCTCCTGCTGTAGCCAAGAACACTAGTCTGGCTATACTATAAACAGAAAACGAAGTAGGACTAGTCTAGTAACGATTTTTATATCTCATCAGGTGACTGGTATATAGAAATGATATAATCTTTTTTAATGAAGGGATAGTTGAGAAGTGGTGAAACAAACATATTATGACCGTTTATTCTGATCCAATATCAATGGTATTAATTGGCCTATGTTCCCTTTTGCAGTGCTGACTGAGAAGCAAAAGATAAATTTAAGAGTAATTAGAGAAAAAAGCTATGATTTATAGCAACTACTTTAGTTGTATTATTCAAACAAAGCAAGCAATTTAAAAACAAAGTAAATCGAGAAACACTGATTTGTCAGACTTATATTTTTTACCACTAAACTTGCTACACTACTGCTAAATTAAAGATATAAGTCTGATTGATTAGTAGTAATTTTTACTAACGCAAGTCTTTTGTATGAGATAATTCTTTGTGGAAATGAAGAATTGATTCCAGAAAAAAGACCTTTATAATTTTTTTTCTCTATCATAACTTTAAAGACCAATTAGATTCAGAATAAACAAAAGGTTTTATGAATCGAATCTTAGTAATTATATTTATTATTAATTTCAGATTTTCTAATTATTAGAATTAGGCGATAGACAAATTCATTTATTTATTAAAATTGTACTTGATTCATAAATAAAAAAAGAGCTTACGCAGAAAAAGACATTCCGGAATTGTGTTTTATAAAATATATTTAGAAAACGAAATATTTATCAGAAAAATAGAACTATAAAAGATATTTTCTCCGATCTACGGTTCCTTCTTGTAAATCGTCGGACACACAGGGATTTGGGGATTTCCCCAGAAATCGGTATGGACGTTCCAGCCTCGTATACAATACAAACAAATAAACACTTAAACCCTCCATCGGGAGTTTTACTTTTTACTTTTTATAACATTCTTTATCCATTCCGCCCTCGTCCGTTCGATTCAGAAACGTATACGGTTTGATAAATTCATGGCTAAGTGCTTCCCTATTTTGCTTATGCTAGTAATATAACCAATAAATAAATATTTTAACATCGCTAAACCAACTAGCTGATTTTCTAAAGGATTTGTTTCTTTGTATGATATTTACTATAAGTATAGAGTTGGCGTATTTATAATATTCCTTTTCAGAAGTTAAATGTAAAATAGATATTTATCACACAATTAAAATAATCAGACTTGATGTGAATGAAGCTTAAAACCTTATCTTAACCTGAAGTTTCTGTATAAAGTATTGTTAAATCAACGAATGTTTAATTGAACTGATAATCTAATACTTTGCAGTGACTTAGAGAATGTTAAATTAGTTTAGTAAAATGACTCTTAATTAAATTTTATACAAGGATTGATTTTATCAGTCCTATCTTTTACTTTGAGAAACTTTTATATTTGTTATGAAGAAGACTATTAAATAAATCCCCATTTTAAAAAACCGAAGAATATTTTTTTTGGGAACTATCAATCATAGTGACCGTATCTACAACGTTAAGCTGTCACTTATATCAATCGGTATATAAAAATTGAAGGAAATCGTTCCTGAACGAAATTACTTTGTTTTCTTTTTAATTTTTTTTTGTTCAATAAAGTTAAGCTTTTATCTTCAAAAGCCATTTCTGTAGTAAGTCCTAAGTAAAATTACTCTTATTTTGACGAAGTACTTACTAATACTTGGTTTATAATATTAATATATTTTAGACGCTAAAGTATAAGCGACAGTTACTTGACCGTTTTCTTGGAATTAGGTCGTCTTCTGACGTTCATATTTATTAGCGTCGAGGGTGCCGATGTAAGATAACACTCGATTTGGTAAATTTAACTCTCGTCATTACTTGTTCTGATTTATGATTATTATACTACATGAAAAATATATTTTATATTTCTTTAATGTTTTCTTCATAACTTAATATTGTAAGTCTCTTGATGTTATTTCTTTAAGATAAATATTCTTCATACGAGAGTTATAATTATGAATGGCTTTATCCTTAAAAGTGTTTGAAATATGTCTTAATGCCGCTTTTGACGATAAAAAAAAGGTAAATCGGAAAAACTATGTCGTATCTAAATTTTTACTGCATTCATTAGACCTAATTTGAAATGTACCTTTCGTTAAAATTTTCTTTTAATAAACACGCAATAAGTCTAATTATTATTAGTATAGGTATTAATACCGTGAAGTTATACTCACAGCACTAAACAGCTTAGAATAGAAGTAGCAAATACAGCACATGGGGATGACGTAGCTCCATACGAAGATGCACATCACGAAGACGCGCGTGTCCTCGTCTTCGGTCAAGAAGTCAAAGGAGCAGGTGGTTAGGAAACCCTCTAGAATAACAACAACAGAAGTAGTCATACATATATAGTATAGCAAGAAAATTTCTCTATTTAAGTGGAAATAATGCCTACTAAAACTATAAGTTGAGTAACATATATATAAATGAATCTAACCTGGTACATATTTCCCCCAGACCCTGAAAGCTGGTAGGAAGGAGAAGGGAGTCGCCCACACCCATGTGAACAGAATCAGCAGCGCGGCTTGCGTACGGTTCAACCGACCGTCTAGAGGACTCGAAATTGTCCTATAAGAACAAATAAATTTATATAGAAACACTAGTTTTTGCTAGTGACTTCTTCTCAGAATTAAAAATGTCGTCGTTTCAGAATTAAAAATGTATAGTTGACCCGGCGAACTCTATTCCTCTTACAGACAGTAGATAAGAAGATTTTGTATTTGATCAATTTATATTTTTTTCTTTTTCAATGTCTCCACCAATTTTTAGCCAAACCCGTGCAGCCATTCTTAAGTTATAAATAATGTAACTAACACTACTTTCTTTTCTATATAAAGATATAGACATTTTTATTCGGCTTTTTTGATCTATGGATAATGACATTTTAAGTAATATATGTAAGTAATTAAAAGGTGCTTACTTGTATCTGTCAAAAGCTATTACGGCGTTGGTGATAGCGCCGCCGATTCCAGATAGTGAGCCGAGAACAGCGTATATATCACATCCGAGCTGGTAGCCCAGCAGTCTCTGGTGGAAGGAGTTCAAAACGAGCAACGGCATCTCGAACATCATCATGAAGTCGAAGATCGCCAGATTGATGACGAACATGTTACTCGGACTGCGTAGAGATTTCGACCTGAAAACAAATATAATCTTAATAAAATTTTCGTATTTAAATTATTTATTGTTTTGTCCATAGCTCTAAAAGGACTTGTAGTATAGAAGCGCAATTTATTATATATATTACAAGTTCACTACATTATTTATCACTCAATAAATATCGGAGCACTGGGCAGTTGTAACAGAAACTTCGAACCAGATATCGGAATGTGTGGAACAATTCTAATAAAGTCGAACTTTCATAGTGATACTGTATCGAAGCTTCTGTATTTCTTAAATAAAAATACCCATTAACCTTTTTATGTATACATTTTGTTTTTATCGAGTTTAAATCAACGCACGAAATAACATTAAATCTCTTAGTGACGACAAGTAATTGACATTTGCAAAGTGCCGCTGTGACCCTATTTTTAATCACAATTCGAGAAACAAAATGATTTTAGAGAATAAACTTCAAGAGCCGTCGTAGTTTAAAAGAATAGGAATGTAATATAAAACACAAAAATTCAATTCAATTATCAATTAAATAATAATATTTCTATAAATATACATGATATTGAGTCCCCTTTCGTAAATGGCACAGATAAGGAATAAAAGGAAGATAAATAGAAGGAGAAAAATGTACCGATGAACATCGGAAACGTTTTCCGAACTCCGATCGAGGCGGTTGAGAACTTTTGCTTGTGACACTCATTTTAGATTTACACAGATGTACGAACACTGCGTTTGTGTTGAGAACACTTTTTAAAGCAAAAATTTACCATATTTCTTTGTGTTAACAAATAATTTTATATGCGTTTATATAGTTACTCTAAATAAAGTCATGATTCGTAAACTCAGAATTTCTGTGGGACAAATGTTAATATATTTTTATAGAAAATTTATTTAGAATATCCATGATTACTGGAACTCTTTGATAAAATTCAAGTCGATCGAGTGAGAAGAACCTTAATTAAATCACTCAATGACAGCAGCCAACAGTACTTCTATTTACCAAATTCTTCCGCGAACTTAACTCAAAATCAATATTTTATTTCAAAGCGTTTTTGCTTCACATTTAATACACAACAAAATGTTATTTGAACTAAGCTTTCATTTGCATATCATTATTCAAGTCTCTTTTAATAAATTTTACTCTAGCATAGAGTTTTATAAACTAATTATAAGCTGTAATAATGGTCACAGGAATATTTGACTCCATTTCATATAAATTTATATAAATTTATAATTACACATTTGATCTCAATATAATTTTGGAACATTGTGTATATGTGAATTACAGAATCTTTTACCTTTTATAATAAATAATATATGAAGATATAATAACACTTTATCCCTTTCCAGGTTAGATTCTTGGCAGGAATATGGATGTATTGGAACTCACGTGCTAAATATCCAGATAACGATTCCATTGCCGGTCATAGAGGCGAGCATCAACAGGGTGTAGATGAAGGCGAGGCCGTAGTGCCAGTATTTGCTGACAGCTGGGAAGTTCCGCCAGTGTTCGTGAACCAGGTCCTGATGTTCCTCGGGAATGTTCCATCCCAGCATGTGTTCCACTACCTCCTGTGATACCCTGAAAATAATGATTGATGTTAAAAACACATGTTCTTCTATATAGATTTTTTAAATTATAGTCAATTTAAAAGTCGTGATTATATACAAGGCCTATTGATAAGTTTCAAAGTGTTTCAATAAACAGTTGAAAGTAATTTTTGCAAGGAACCTATTAAAAAACAAATTTATATTCGTTTAAGTCGGACGTCACGTCGTAATAATAATACCAACATTTTTAATGGGTAGGCCATGGGGCCGATGTCGTCTGTGAAGTTTGTCGCCATTTTGTGCACCGTTAAAAAAACAAAATGGTTGGACTCTCTCTGATAGTGATCACTTATTGTACATTTGTATTAAATGTAACGTTGGCTGACTGTTTGACGAAGTGAGTAGTCCGACTCGGTTGTCGCTTCTCACTTGTGAAGTCCTTACATCGTGGTAGTCTTTTATATCATTCTAACATGCGTGACGGTTAATTGTTTAATTTAATAAAACAGTAAAGCTTCATGTTTATTTGGTCAAGTATGTTTGTTACATACTGTACTACTACATGGCTACATGGAAGATTTTTCCGTAATTTAATTTCTTAAATACTATTATGTGTGTGAGTATTTAAATACTTTTTATTACGTTTTAAATTTAATAATGAAACACGGCATTTTAAGACCTTTGTACACTCTTAACGAGGATGTCAACTCTTTTCAAGTGTTACTAGTAAATTCAATTCATTTGTACTGATATTAAAAAATTATTACATATTAATATAATATTGTAAGAAAATTTATGTTGAAGTAATATTTATGTTACTAACATTTACTTCGTTTACAAAATATATAAATAATTATATTTGATTTTATTTTATTTTATTTAATGAAATTAGTTATGGAATTAATACAGATATATACATTAACCAGTATAATTTATTACTCTACGTTTTTGTCATAATTTTATGGAAAACGGCTAGGTAAAAGTTTCACTCAACTATGAAATTACTTATGATTATGTATTTTTCATTTATAATTTTATTTCTAAAATTTATAAGTCTATAATTATTCTATATATCGTTATTATTATATTAGCAATATTTTTGTGATTAAATATGTAGTATGTACATATATGTATATTGCACTAGCCTCTCCGGAGGATAAGTTCATGTAAAAATCACAAAATATTTTTGTATCAAAGCCTAAGGGTCTTCAGTTCATTATTTCCTTATAAGAGTTATATTGTAATTTGAAAGATGCAAAAGAGAGATCTCATAATAAAATATTTTCTCCCGTTTGCCTAATATTATTAGTTAGATGCCATTGACCTTAGCGTGAGACATGGCCTTTGAGAAATGGGTTGTTTAATATGGTAACAATTTGTTTACTTCACCCCTTACATCCTGAAATTATCGTATTCAAATTATGATTTATATTATATGTAATACGTACGCAAAATAAAATCAAACCAATTTTTAGTTAAACAGAATAATAATAATCGATTATATTCCATGTTCCACTGAATTTTGTTTATGACGGTAGTAGAGTCAGCAATATAAATATATATTTTGTATCTATAAACAGATTATGTCAATTTAAAATCAATACAAATGAACAAAACTGGAGTATCGGTAAGTAAAATTAAAATAACTGTTATAATAAATTTGTAAGTATACACGGTCCACTATTTGAAAATTATTTTGTCTGTTTCTTTGTATTCGCTAATATTTGAAAAAACTGAATTTTATACCGGACTATCCACGGTAGGTAGCTCAAAAGAGCAATATAGATCACTTTGATTTCAGAAATTTTATTTACCTTAACATAATTTTGAATGTATTATCCCTCCCGACGAAGTCGCGAGTATAGCTAGTCTTTAATATTTGTAATGTCTTGTATGTAATATTTTTGTCAATACCGTTTCCACAACCAAGTCAACAAGATCACAACGATCCCTACAAGATCGCAGCTAACTCCAAGTTACAGACAAATCGTGCTATGAATGTACAAAACGACAGCTACAAGTCTTTATAAATAATACAAGAACGAATAAAATATTCCATATAATTTTATAAAAATTTTATACTCACTTGTACAGTTTCTATCAACATCGCAATGTCAATAATGAAATTATATCCCACATACAACTATAGAGTTTATTGTCTTCGTTTAATTATAGTTAGTAATCTGATTTATTTGAAACACAAATCTAGTTTTGTGATTTTTTTTATTTAAATATAAAATCAAAAGAATATTTGAAATTGGATCTTTGTGTTCAATGTCACAACTCACGTAAATCTCATTACTTTTTCAAATATCACCTTTGACTATTTCAAATACGTATTAAAACCTGACCTAAATAAACTATTGAATAATAATATCATCAAATGTGGCTGCTTCGTCACCTTGAAGTATTTTAACAAAGACCATAAACAAAAATGAAAGTAAATAATATTTTTTAGATTACTAGGCGTATTTTATTATCTTAAAAACTATATAATCCTGACGTTTCGGTTACTTTGCAGCAACCGTGATCTCGGGCAGACGAGATGTGAATGTCTAAAAAATAGAAAAAAAACATTAAAAATATCACATTTCACAATTTTTGTCTGTCTGTTGATCTGTTTGTTTCGGTTTGTTGGACCAATTTTGTCAGAACTTTTAGATGTAGGAGCAGATGTAATAAGGAGTAACTCAGGCTACTAATATCCCGATCCAAAAAATTAAGCTTTATTATCAAAATTAAGCTTTAGCATCAGGTAGTGGGAGGTGGGGCGAATTCGGAGTTTAAAAGATTTTTTTTTTGGTTTTTAATTTTACCAAATAAAATCGCAAGTAAAAACTAATATATATATAACATAGTCTCTTAATTTTCATTTCTTGTTCACTGATGCATTCATCATTTTTTTCATTTTATAATTTATAGAGAAACAAAAGCGAAAAGATCAAATAAAACGCTGACTTTATTTGATCTTTTCGTTTTTGTGTGGAATCCGTCTTTCTGGCGCCTTATATTACTGTGAGATTCCTGTGGGTTCTTACATAGAATATTTGTGAAACTGCTCTTGTTCTATTCCATTCTATAATTAAAATAATATACAACAATTAACATTTAACAATAAAAGCAATTTATTTAATAATAATGTTATTTTAACTATTTGACTAGGCTAATTACGCTTTATGTCATTTGATCAAGATTTATCTAGGCTGTAAGATAAACTAAGTTTAGCAATTTCGTGTTAAGTGCCAGGCCAGGTCACGAGTCTTGTATAAACCACCCAAGTTGCTTGTGTGATAAACTATAAATTTCCAACCAACTTAAACGGGCTCACTTAGTTTTCGGGTCAAATATATTAAGTGTACAGTAGTAATATATATAAAATTCTATATAGCAATATCTTTAATATAAGTTCATATTACTCTATAGTAGTGAAGTGAGCTATATAATTTAATAAACTATTAAACCAATGCAGCATATGTTTGTGTCGGGCCGACACCGTCCAAAACCAATTATCTTGGTTACTTGGCACGTGGTATAAGACAAATTTATGGATTCTCCTATGACAAACAGCTTCTTTCATTTAATAGATTGAATATCATCATTGATTTTATAAAGCAGCATTATAAAAGTTATATTCATTTAAATTATAAAATATAATTTTTAACCAAGCAATAATTCTCTGACTGTGATGTAAATGAGAAATACTTAAATTTTTTTAACGGACTTAATATTTGGAGAATTTGTTTCTCTTATCCCCGAGGCGATTAAGAATAAAAGAATCTTTGAAATTAAGAACTTGAAGACGTGTATTGTTAATCCATTTTTTTTCATTAAATTCAATGAAAAGTAATAATTTTTCTTTTTTACAAGCTAATAAAGAATTAGTAAAGGAAAAATAATTGGTTATCTTATTTTACTAAAGATAAATTGTAAAAAATACTTGATTACTTAGAATACATATTTTTTATCATGTAATAAAATAATGTAATTCAAAGAAATCCATATTTTTAGATTTAAACAATTATGAAATCTGAATGGAACCTTCTTTATATGCTTTCTTACATGTGGATGTGACAAAGTTAAATAAAAAAGGAAAACACTTTTTCGATTGAAAATAGATTCAAATATCTTTATGAAAATAAGTCATGAACATGATAACTGTAGAGTCCTAATTAAAAAAGGATTGTATCCACATGTGACCCAGATTACTATTCAGTGAACAACTCTTTGTTTAATTTTTTGTTAGTTTAAAGTCAAACAACTATTTAAATTTTTACAACTAATACGTCACGCTTTTCCGACCGGTTGATGACGTCATAAGAGGTACAGAACAAAAGTAGTTACATCGAATCTGCATATCTGTAGTTTCAGTTGTAACCTTTCTCCATTAATTCAACAGAATGTAGGTCACTTTTTAAAACAAAGCAGAGAACTAATGAAAAATATCACTGTGAATAACAGTGCCTTTGGTTGAGTTTATTATATATAAATAAATGTAACAATCCGAATGGGTATGTATGCAAAACTAAGTTTTCTTGTCCCTTCAGCTGAGCGAACCGCAACTTATGTCTGCTTGTAATTAAAAAGTGATCTCGTTTTGTTTCATTAATCCCGTCCACTTCTGTTAGAAGCATCAACAACTTTTATGAACATTAAAATATAAAAATACTTCTATGAAAATGTAGTTGCATATTACTTTTATATAATTTCCATATAAATGGTATAAATAGAGGTTGGAGATTTGTTTTGCCTGAACTTGAACTTTCCATTTCATTTTCATTATTCTATCTCTGTTGTAGGCCGCTGACGACCATAATGGATCCACCTTGGCATTTTTACTGGCTCTTTTATCTCTCAAATTGTGCTATTTCTTCAACTCGCTTTAACCCAATGATCATTTAGACTGTTGTTCCAAATATAAGATTTTGGATATATATTCGATTAGACCAAAGAATTTATAAATATACATTACCAATTAGAAAATACGAACAAATTTTTTCCCTTAAAAAACGCTATCTTATATAAAAGTAATAATGTTCTACAAGTAATGAGCACTTTGATTGCTTTATGTGTAACTAAAAATAAGAGTGGACTGTAATACGCTAGAGCTCTTCTCAAAACCTGAATTTAGCTTTGAAACCGCGAACCATTTACAAATTGTAGACGATTAAGGCAATGTTCAGCGGAGTTCGTGTTTTATATAAATTTCAATTAACAATGAGGATACCGCCTACGTTATGTCATGAAGAAAATACAGAATGTAAACTACAATGTTCTGCGGAGCTGATTTTAAAGCAGT